AGCTCTCGATCTCCTCCGTACTCTAGTCGAACGCCTTGCAGGTGCACCGCTCGAACCCCTCATCCAGAAAACCCGGACATGCGCCAGCTCTGTTTTGAAAGATACGGAGCTTAAAGGCTGGTTTGACGACTTTTTCTCTTCGGCTCGTCAGAACCTATCCGAACCTGGTTACGCACGTTCAGAGGAAGCTCGAAATAAACGTCGTGAGCTCCGTGTGCGCTGGAGGACTTTACTTGAGAAGGACGACAAGTGGAGGAAGGCTGTTGATAACGTGAAAATTGAATTGCGGAAAATTGAGGCTGGGTTGAAGATGAGTGAGGATTTAAATAGGGTTAGGGATGCGCATGAGAAGTTTGGGAGGGATATGGAAGAAAAGTTGGTTGAAGTTAGGACGGGTGTGCAGGCTGCGATCGAGCAGGCCACTTGGTTCTGGCAGGACTTGTTTAAGGTCTACGTTCCGAGGGTACTCTCCAAGATGCGAAATGTACCTATTCCGAGGTTCGTATCTCTTTTCTTTCTTTTTTGATTTACTTTCTCAACGTTCTTTTCCGATAGAACTGAATACAAAGACGACGAAATTGAATTTGTCCTCGAGAACCTGGACATCTCATCCTTCAACATCCTTCCTTCACATGTCTACATACGCAATATCACTGATGTTGATATACTCACTTCAGACACTCCCTCCGCTCCCTCGCGTACCGCCGTAGGGACACTCACGCACGTCCGCATGCAAGCCATACAATTACCCCTCAATGACGTCTCATTCTGGTACCGCGACAAAACGGCTTCGGCTATTACGCCTAATGAATTCACGGGTCTCCTAGGGCTCACCCTGCCCACTAAAGGCATCAACGTCGACCTCAAAGTCCGTCTCGTCCCTTCCACCATCCCGGCCAACTCTAAAGACTCCCGGGCCTCTCTTAAACACTTCCATGTCATTGAAAAAGCATCTGTATCCATCTCGGAAGACGTGAACATTGAAGTGAAGGAGAGTAATCATTCGGTGTTGATGACGCTGTTTAAGCCTATCATGGTTATGAGGTTGAAAGACGCTTTGGAGAAGACTTTGAGTGAGGAGTTGAGGGGCGTTGTGGAGTGGGCTGATGCGGTTGCTTGGGATGTTGCGAAGAGGAGGGAGGTATTTGAGGATACGGGGTTGGGTGGTGGTGGGTCATTGATGGCGGCGTTGTGGAGTGAATTGGGAAGATTGCAGAGGGAAAGGAGAGAGGAGGGTGAGAGTGTTGGTTGGAGAGCGACGGGTACGGGTGTTGTTGTTGAACAACAGAAAGGGGAAGGTAAAGGAAAGACGGCGTTTGCTGTTGGTGCTGAACCGCAGATCTTGGAAGGGGAGAAACGAGGACCGTTGGGTACAGGATCTGAGAGATTGAAAGATAAGATCGAGAGCGAGATGGATGTGGATGCGAGTGTACTTGAAGGACGAGCCAAGGATTTGGTGAAAGAAGGTAAGAGGCAGGTCGAAGGGTTTAGGAAGAGCGTAGAGAGGAAGAAGGACCAGGAGTTGGCTCAGGAGGGTTGGCAGAGTGCAAGTTTTGATTTCTGAGTTTATCAATTTTATTTATGTATCACGTATCCCACAATTGTAATCGACCACACTGCCACGGCTTGTTTATCTCCCCGACTCTCAGGTCATAGCTTTCGACTTTGCCAAAACACATTCATAGATTCATTCAACTGTCCTGGTGGGATGGCAATGTTTTCGGGTCCAAACTTCATTGCAGGAGGAAATTATTCAGTTACACAGGATCGTAGTAAAGGTACGTCCCAGCAGTGGATCCCGACAACTTGAATGAACCAGCGCTTCGTCTGATCGTCGTGTCTGTGTAGGAATCAAACGTCTGTATAAGAAAGTTGCTCCAGGAGCATTTCATAACTCTTCCGAAAGATATGACCCTCCGAAATGTCATCCGGGAACCCGAGAAATCATTATCAAAGAGATAATGGAATGGATAAAAACGATCGACAGAGATGAATTTTTCCTGTGGTTGTACGGACCAGCTGGGGCAGGAAAATCAGCGATCGCCCAAACCATTGCAGAGTTATGTCACAAGGCTGATCTTCTCGCTGCCAGTTTCTTTTTCTCCAGAACAGCCTCCGGTCGTAACGATGCCACTCTTCTAATCCCAACTCTTGCATACCAACTCACGATCTCGATCCCAGAGATAGTCGATCATATATCTTTGGCCATCGACAGAGATCCTCTGATTTTCGACCGCTCTCTTGAGGCTCAATTTGAAGCTTTGATACTTAAGCCTCTATCCGCATTACCATCGAAACATAATCATTCAAGCAAGGAATCAAAAATTTATCCCAGATTCATCATAATAGATGGCTTGGATGAATGCAACAACGATCACAATTCTCACTGCTCCATCTTGTCAACTCTTTCATCTTCTCTTCAACAATCTTCTCTTCCCCTTATCTTTCTCGTAGC